CTTTCTTTTTTGGTCCATTTGCTTGTAGGATTGTTTTCCATCCTTTAACTTTGAGCTTATTTTTATCTTTTGTAGCTAAATGTGTTTCCTGGAGACAGCAAAAGGTTGGATTTTGTTTCTTAATCCAGGCTGCAACTCTGTGTCTTTTTATTGAAGAGTTTAGTCCATTTACATTTAGAGTTAATATTGATAAGTTAGCATTTGTATTTGCCATTGTGTTTGTCGTTCCTTTGATTTTATTTATTCTTTTAATAACTTTTTTTTTTTGGCCTTCTTTCGTTGTTATTCGTCCCTCTGAGGTTCTGTCTTTAGGATTCCTTGTAGTATTTTTGGAGTGGGGGTTTAGTCGTAATGAAATTCCAGAGTTTCTCTTTGTCTGGGAAGGTCCTTATTCTTTCTTCATAGAGGAAGGAGAGCTTTGCGGGATAGAGTATTGTTGGTTGGCATCTGTTTTCTTGGAGTCTGTTGACTATGTCCCTCCACTCTCTCCTTGCCCGTAGTGTTTCTTCAGAGAAGTCCGATGTCAGCCTGATTGGTTTTCCTTTGAATGTTATCTGTTTCTTCCCTCTTGTCAGCTTCATTATTTTTTCCTTGTCCTGGCTTCTTGGGAGCTTTACTATTATGTGTCTTGCTGTATTTTTCCTTTCGTCGTGGAAGTTTGGTGTTCTTCTTGCTTCTTGTATATCAATTTTCAGCTCCTTCTTCGCGTTTGGGAAGTTCTCTTCATTTATCTCCTGGAATATTTTCTCTGTTCCTACATCTCTCTCCTCTCCTTCTGAAATTCCTATAACTCTTATATTTCCTTTCCTCATGGAGTCAGATAGTTCCTGAAGTCTTTCTTCGTTCTTTTTCCTTCATACTTCTCTTTCCTTTTCTGTTTTGGTTCTTTTTATTTCTGTGTCTTCAAGAGTACTTATTCGTTCTTCCATTTCCTCTATTCTGCTTTCATTGCTTTTCCCAGAGTTCTTTAGTTCCTCCATTAATTCTTTGATCCCCTGCGTTTCTTTTGCTTCCCTCTTTAGGGACTCAATTTCCTTCTTCTGATCATTGTTTTCCTTTATGATTTCTGTCATTTTTTTAATCACTGCAATTTTAAATTCTCTTTCTGGAAGGCTCAGAAGTTCTTCCAAGTTACTGTCGTTGCAATCTGGGGGGTGGTTTTCTTTTTGTGGTGTGCTTTTTTCCTGAGGAGTTGCTAGGTTGTGTGTGGTTCTTCTACTCCCTACTGTCTGTTTTCTAATTTGTCGTATGCATTGGGACACTGTGTTGCTCGGACTGGCCGGCATCTTGGGTGAACTTCTCCGCTCCCCTCTGGCTCCTCCAGGAGCCATCTCTGGCTTCTGAGGGAGCTTTCTGCTGGTTTCAGGAAGTCTTTACTGAAGAAATGTCCCTGTTCTAAAATGGCAACTTGGGACTCTGTCCCTGAGCATCCGGTCTCAGGCACACTCTTCTGTGCGCCCGGTCTGCCCCGGCCGTGGGTGCCTGTTCCCTCTGTGGGCTCAGACTGCTGGTCGGAAGGGGCCTGGCGTGGGCTAACTTCCCAGCTGGCCACTGTCTCCTCCGGGAGCCTTCTGCCCTTTTCAAGCAGACTTAAGAAATTTCCCTGTTCTATGGGGTGTTAGTGACTTTTTTTCTGGTCGCTAGGTGGTGCCAGAGATCTCTCCTATTGTCCTTGGGGGCTGTTTTTCGCCCCCCCCCACCCCGTAGGACAGGGAACAGAGCGGGAATGGTAGGGTAAACCTCAATGGCTTTGGGGTGCTGTGTCTGCCTTGTGCCCCACCGTCGTGGAGAACCCACGCCCCAAACTTCGTGCCCCGGGTCTCAGTTCAAAGCCCTCAGGTCCAGGACTCGGGCTGTAGCCCAGTTCAGTGGCGTGGGAATGGCGCCTTTTGCACCCGCTCCCGTGCCTGGGCGCCTGGTTCCTGCTCACTTAGTGAGGGACTTTCACCTCAGTGAGAAGGACCTCCGCGCGTCTCCCCGCAAGCCTAGGTCGCAGGTGCGGGGACCTGGGCAGCCGCTATCAAGCGCACCGCTTTTCTGCGCAAGCTTACCGGCTGGCCCGGGGCTGTGTGCGGGTCTCCAGAGTCTCTTTGTTCTTCTCTAATGGCGCCCGGAGCCGTGCGCTCACCGCCACGGTGAATCCTGCAGGGTTCTCCACAGCTCCCGTTCACGGGGTGTGGTGTCTGCAATAGTTCCTTTCCACTCACAGTCCCGCTTGCTGGGTAGTTCGTTCTTGTTGGTCATTTTAGTTTGTTGTTTCCCTCCTCTCTGCTGGTCGGAGAGTGCCGACTCTGTGGGCGGGGGAGGGGAGCAGGGTTCTGCGCTTTCCTCCCTTCTAGTCCTTTTTTATAGCAACTTTCTTCTTTGGGTAGTTTGCTGGAGTCGTCCGTTTATCTTCCGTGTCCCAGTCCTCACTGGGACCTGCCGCTTTCCCTCCCTATTAACTTTTTTTAATGAGAGATCTTACTTGCAGCGTCTCCTCGCCGCCATGTTGCTCCGCCCCCCCGTTTGTTGATTTTGATATTTTCTTTCTTATAGTTATTCTTTTTCCTTGTCCCTTATTTAAGTTTTCTAGATTCCTGCTATGAGCGAGACCATCCGGTATTTTTCTTTTTCTTTCTGGCTTATTTCGCTGAGCATGATCCCTTCCAACTCCATCCATGTTGCTGCAAATTGCACGTGTTTATCTTTTTTGAATGCTGAGTAATATTCCATGGTGTATATGTACCACATCTTCTTGATCCAGTCATCGATTTTTAGGCATTTGGGTTGTTTCCAAATCTTAGCTATTGTAAATAGTGCTGCTATAAACATAGGGGTGCAGGTACTCTTTGGAATTGATGTTTCTGTGTCCTTTGAGTAAATAAATGCAAATCAAAACTACAATGAGATACCATCTTACACCAGTGAGAATGGCACATATTGAGAAAACTAGCAACAACAAATGTTGTTGAGGTTGTGGGAAAAAAGGAACTCTCCTGCACTGTTGGTGGGAGAGCAAACTGGTCCAACCACTATGGAGAGCTGTGTGGAGATTTCTTGACCTACTAAACATAGAGCTTCCATATGATCCAGCAATTCCACTCCTAGGTATCTTTGTAGTTTTCTTCATCTATATCTTAAGACATATTTTGTTAGATTTATAACTAAGTATTTCTTTCTCCTTTTTATTAATATAAATAATGCAGTTTTCATTTTATATTCCAATTATTTATTGCTCATTTATAAAAGTGTCCAATAACCTTACTGTAATCACATATGCATTACAGAATTTTGTTGTTGCTGTTGATTCTTTGACAGTTTCTGCATAGACAATCATATTATGTGTAAAAAAAAAAAGGCAATTTAATTTCTTCCTTCAAGTCCATATGCTTTTTGCTTAATTTTCTTGTCTAACTTATTGCATGAGCTAAGACTTTCAATATCATGTTCATACATGATTAATAAGAATAACTGTTTTTCTCCATCCATTGATATGACCATATAATTTTCTTCCTTAGTCCACTGATATTCTAGATTATATTAATTTTCAAATTTAGTTTTTAAAATCTTTGAACAACCTTGCACACCTGCAAAAAATTCCATTTGGTTTTACAAAATTTATACATATTTGGATTCAGTTTGCTAACATTTTGTTGAAGATAAAATTTATTTGTAAAAATCAGGAAAATTTCACAAAGTGCTTTTAATTGATTTTTTTAATCTCATAAACATTAAAATCTCACCTCCAGTTTTAACAAGTGAGATGTCACAATCTCCATGATACATAAGTTTTATTTTTATTTTGTTTATCTGAATTATATTATGGTTTATTCAATTATCTGAGGGAAAATTATTTAAAGTATCAGTGTTAGTGATTTATCGATCTGATTCCTAAAGGCATCACCAGTTTGACCCAAATTGTGATGCAAATTGGATAGATTTTTTTGTTTGTTTGTTTTCCTTCTTTTAAACTTTCCATTAACTACTAAGTCCACAGGACAATGTATTATAATGTTAAATACATGCATTCGTTAGCTGTGACTACACAATAATTTTTCTTAAAAGTTTGTGGCTAAAAACAATTCTGTGGTTGCTGCTGGACTCTCTCATGCTTGGCAGTCTCCTGGGGGTCAGCTGGCAGCTGGATGGTTTATATTTGTACTGGGTATGCTATCTGCTGGCTGAATCTACAGGGACAACTAGACCAAGGGAAGAAGCCCAGGTTTCTTGATATGGTGGTGGTTACAGGATTCAGAATCACCAAAGAAAAGTCCTGCTGTAAGTAAGTTATGTCCCAAAGATTCAAGTGGGTCACATGTTCAAAGATCAGCTGAATTTTCAAGGTATTGCAGGCCTCGCTTCAACAACATGCATGCAGGAAGGAAACATGTGCTATATGTGGTCACTATAAGTCATTTATATCCTGGACCATGAATGCTAATATTTTTCTTGTATTTGTGAAAAAGCAAACAGATGTTCTGATATAATGAGATGTGTAGAAAATGTATCTTCTCCAAATATATGGCAATTAATAACATCTAATGGATTTATTAGTCCATGGTGGTTGGTATTATGTTGGGAAATCTTGATGACAGACTCAACAATTTTTGTTCATATTGAAATCTTTCTGTTCAAGTCACTGTCATTCATCCCTTTCATCAGACCATGTTTGTATTTTTTTAAAGATTTATTAATTTATTCATACAAGAGCTGGGATACAGGCCAGAGGTACGGGAGAGAGAGGATCCATCAGAGACAGAGTGGGGAGTGGAACAGGTAGGCTGATGGAAACACACTGCTGAGGGGAACAGCTCGCGAGTCAGAGGAGGTCTGCTGCACCATGTGGGTAGCTCCCTGGCTGGCTGGGGGATTGAATTTATGCTGCAGAGGCAGTGGATCACTTCACAGTGCTGTGCTTAATCCCTTGTGCCACCAGGGAGGCCCAGAACATGTTTGTATTGAGATGCACATTTTCATGGCCAGATGTGGCAAATAGCAGTGTGTCTGTCTCCCTCTAGGTGCTTGCCCAGCTATTGTGAACATGGTGGTAAATGTTCCCAGTCCTGGGACACCTTCTCCTGCGACTGTAGTCACACTGGTTACATGGGCGCAACCTGCCATTCCTGTAAGCCTCATACTTTGCTTCTTGTCCTTTCTGTCCTAATTTTCTTTTTTTTTTTTTTTATAAATTTTATTGTTATATTCCCCATACAATTGCAGCCCCCCCATTCTGACCCCAATCCCTCCCCTCCCGCCCCCGCCCCCCTAAAAGTGTCTCTGGTTCATAGTTTTTTGTTGATTTTGATTTTCACTTTCTTATAGTTATTCATTTTCCTGGTCCCTTATTTAAGTTTTCTAGATTCCTGCTATGAGTGAGACCATCCTGTATTTTTCTTTTTCTTTTTGGCTTATTTCGCTGAGCATGATCCCTTCCAGCGCCATCCATGTTGCTGCAAATTGCATGTGTTTATCTTTTTTGAATGCTGAGTAATATTCCATGGTATATATGTACCACATCTTCTTGATCCAGTCATCTATTTTTGGGCATTTGGGTTGCCCTAATTTCATGTAGCTTTATTTTTCCTTGTCTTAATTTTGTGTATATGTGTCTATTTTTGCAACTGTGTGCTAGAAAGCAACAACACTGAAGAATCAGATATTTTAGAGACCAGTTTTTCTTTTATATTTGGCCACTTTTATTTCCTAGTGATGTTAAAGTAGTGTTAAAATATATTTTTTATTTATAAAATAAGGTAGATAAATAAAGTAGATAAATAAAATATATTTTATTTATAAAATAAAGTAATTGTTAAAATATGTAATATCAAATCATAAAGAAGAAAAAATAACAGGCAAAGGAAAATAGTACAGAAGAAAATACTGTAAAGAGTTAAAAAGAATCTAGAATGCTCAATAGTATATATGGTTTTGTTCTTTGAGTTGAACCCAATTTTATATCTCAGGTTCTGACTGCTAAAATCAAAAGGATGTGATATTAGGTCCTCAGTATTTATAAAATTAAACAAGAGAATTTCAGAAGAAGCACTGGATGGGAGCTAGAATGGTAGGATTTCGGTATCCCAGCAATCAGCCAGGCAAATGTTCAGGTCCCTTGCAAACCTAACCTAATGTTCTTTGAAGAGGACAGTGATGGTGAACATACTGGGATTTGCCTTGTGTCTGCACTCTAGTTCTGTGCACCTTTAATCTCCTTTAATCCTCAAAACAGCCTTAGGAAATAAGTGTTACTATCTACATGTCACACTTGAGAAAGGAGTGAGGTAAGTCCAAGGTAAGGCAGCTCCAAGCCAGCACTCTGCACTGACTCTCTATCATGGTTCTTCTATCTTGAATACCAGTCTTTTTTCTTAAGAATTACTCTAACAAATTAAAAACTAACAAAATTTTATTGAACATTAGCTACTAGAAGTTTAATGAGAAAGCCCTTGGAATTCTCATGGCTTTCTGATTATTGACTTTCCTTTTTGTTTTTCCCTATTTGCGTGTGGTCACTGACATTTCTGAATTCCCATAGCAACTCTCCTTGCTGTAGGACTTGAGGAAAGAGCATGACATGAAAATTCACCCATCCCACCAGATCCAGTAACTCTTACGAGAGACCACACTGCACTTTTAAGAACTCTTCCCAGGGAAACAGGGGTTGGCACTAAGATGAGAACTTGGGTCCCCAGCAGAAGAGCTTAGAGCCTCTCGGCAGATTCAGAGAGTTCATCCCTTGAAAATTCCACCTGCACCTCTATTCATATTACAGTGCTAAAATTTCCCAGGACAACTCATCATATATAAATAGTTAGCAAATAAAACTTAAGAAGAAAAAAAGGGAGCTGGAAATGTTGGAAACCAAAGGCTAAGTGGCTTAGTTAGAGAAGTCTTTTACTTATAGCATCATCCATCACTATCTTACAAGCTATCTTACACAAATACTCAAATATCTCCTGAATAGTAGTGATTGAAGAATGATTTCTGAATGTTGTCAGTAACTGCCCTAAGCTTCATTCCACACAATTCTGATTTAAAAAATTATCAGGTATTTAGATGTTGTAGATATAGATCAAGATACAGATAAAGATCTAGACAAAGATTTAGACAAAGGATCTTTCCTTTGTGGTTTATAATTTGGTCTACCTATGGAAATGACTTCATTATAGTTCCCTAACTAAAATAACTAAATGAAGATGAGATATTGCCCAATTGGTTGTCTGCATGTCCCTCAGTGGATGATAAAAGCCACACTATTGATTTGGGTCAATATGATTTGACATAACATTTTATTTAGAAAAAAATGCTTTCTTTTGTAAAATCCTGGCCAAACAAATATTCTTTTTTTTTTAAAGATGATTTATTTATTTATTTATTTATTTATACAAGCACTGGGTACAATTAGAAGCGTGGAGGGTGAGAGAATTCACCAGACCAGAGCTGGGAGAAGAACAGGCAGACTGATGAAGTACACTTGCTAGGGGAGCAGCAGGCGCAGCAGGAGAGGTCTGCGTGCCATGTGGGACCCTTGCCAGTGGCCTGGCATCGAACCAGCACTGCAGAGGCTGTGGGCAGCTTTGCAGCTCAGTGCTCAACCACTGAGCCACCGGGGGGGCCCAAACAAATATTCTTTAAATCTTATTTTGTGAGAAGAGAAAAACAATCCTCATGCCCTCTCTGGGATTTTCCTAGCTATTTGAAATATTTGCACAGACTTTAAAAATGTAGACCTTCATTCTGGATCCATCCAGGCCCAGTAGCACACACTCACATCCTCACCCCTGCCTGTCTTCACTCCATTTTGTGAGTTTACCTCACTAACACCCAAGTCTTGTGTGGATCCAATTTTGATTGTAGGTCATAGACCAGCCCAACACTGTGCCAGAATCATCTTGTGCCCTTCTCCTGGCAGCTATTATCTGCTTTCCAGAAAAGAAAGGAGCTGGACAGTTTAGAAACCAGAGGCTAGGTGGTTTAGTTAGAAATTTCTCTTACTTATAGTACCATCCATCACAGTGAGGTTTCTTATACAAATACTCAGATATCTCCCGAATACTAGTGATTGAAGAGTGATTTCTAAATGTTGTCAGTATAGAATGATGTCCACAGGAGATGTTATTCAGCTAATTACTCATTTAAACTTATTCTGAGTATTAATTAAGCCCATCGCCTGCAGATATTAATCACTTGCCCTTGAAATAGCAAATTTTTTATTTTACATGTTAAAAAATTCAAGTATGAATCAGGATAAATTGAAAGTATAAGGATTTCATATATATTTATTTTTTAATTTCACTTTATTGAATAATTACTTTCAAAGTATTTAAGGAGGTTTCTTTTTAAAACAATGAAGAGTTGCCGATTTGTAAAATGCATCTTGTTAAAAATACATTTTGCATGTAAACTGTTTTAAGTAAACAAAGGATATAATTACTAAGTAATTTAAAAAATCAACATGATTATTAGATAATAACAGATCATTTAGTGAGGTTAAGCCTGTGTGCTTCAGGTGTTAATGTTACAAAGCAGGGTGAGAGTCACCCCAGGATCCCCAAACCTGCCTGCTCTAAATGGGTCCTGCCATCTGCTGCATCAAAACAGAATATACTCTAGCGAGTAAGACCTTTAATAGAAATAACTTAAACACAATTAGTGTGCAATAAAGAGGAAGACAAAGAATATAATTCACTTCCAATTAAACACCCAAAGTTACCGATCCCCTCATGGGTAAATGTCCAGCCAAACAGGGTTGGCCTGAAGCAGGACCGCTGAGGCCCAAAAGCTTGCCCTAGTCTAAAGCACCTTCTGGTGGGGACCCATAGGAAAGGGGCAAAAAGGGCCAGGCAAATCTGGGAGGAAAAGAGCAAAATCAAAACAAGTCAAGATAAAGGCTGCCATTGTCAGTATCCCCTTGGATCTCTCACCCACATCTCACTTCAAGTGTCTCCTTCCATGTCCCCAAAGTCCCTGGTACAAGTCCAAGGCCGAGAAGTAAGCACAGCTTCTTCACATGTCTCTCTTTTTCATGTCTCCTAGATTGCCTTCCCTCCTTCTCCCAGTCTTCTCTCCAGCTACTCTTCCTTGCTCAGCATCACTCTTTCTTAGGGTGGGACAGGGAACCTAGAACCTCCCTGAGGACCATGCTGTTACAACTAGATATTATGGGGCAGAATTAGAACTTGTCTAGAGTGCAAAATTTTTTTCCCAATCAGTAGGATGTCTCTTTGTTTTGGTTAATGTCTCTTGTTGTACAGAAGCTTTTCAGTTTGATATAAGCCCAGGTTTTTATCTTTTCCTTAACTTTATTTGCTTTGGGTGATGAGTCTTTAAAGATGTTACTAAAGATGTTACTGAGATGTATGTCTTGTAATATTTTACCTATATTTTCATCTATATATTTTATGGTTTTATGTCTTATGTCCAGTTCTTTTATCCATTTTGAGTTGATTTTTGTGCATGGTGAGAGGTAGTAGTCTAGTTTCATTCTTTTGCATGTGGTGTCCAGTTTTCCCAACACCGTTTATTGAACAAACTGTCCTTGTTCCATTGTATATTCTTTGTTCCTTTGTCAAAGATTAGTTGCCCATATATATGTGTGGCTTTATTCCTGTTATCATGGTTTTATGACAATCTTGTGTTCCTAGGAGCAAGTAAGATTTACTTCAACGTGTCCTTCTGTGATAACTCTTTAAAGTGTTTCACTCTATGCTTCAGAATCTCCATGCTGCATATTTGAATCAGGGAACTCGCTCCTAGGGAAAGTGTAATGAAGGATCACAGAATGAGTGTCTCTGAGGGAAAGTAGTGCACGTTTGGCCGCATTGTGGGGGGGGGCTCCAGACCCTCTGCTGAGTCCCATGTTCTTTGCAGCACTCTATGAGCAGTCCTGTGAAGTCTACATGCACAGGGCCAACTCTTCAGGGCTCTACTATGTCGACTCCGATGGAAGCGGCCCCCTTGGACCAACTCTTGTATATTGCAACATGACAGGTATGCTAATAAGCTATTTATGAGAATGAAACTTGTATAAGCATGTGCTGCAGCAAAACCAAGATGGGAAAAATTGAGATTACCTAGTAGCAGCTCTATCACATGTGCATTATGATTGTAACTGTAATATGTTTACTCAGAAGTATTAAAGTTGATATATAAAATAATTACAAGGTGGTAATTAAAAGTTAGGTCATTATTTTTGGAAATGAGTTTTATGCAAAAATAAATCTTTACTTACAAATCTAAAATGAAAAAGCATAAACTTTGTTATATCAACTCAAATGCCAATTACAAGAAAATGTTGACTTTAAATTTGTGAAAACATGCATTTGGATTTATTTGAGTTTTTAATCACATGAATTTATCTAGGAGATGAAAAAGGTTTTTGAAATTTACATACTTCCTTAATAATGTGTTCATGGGCGCCTATATATTTTCTTTGTGGAGGTGTGTGTGGGTGTTTGTTTATAGATTCATGAAAACTATGGATGATAATTGAGAGATTGATATTGCCATATAAATTTTTATTATCAAAGAATACTAAATAACTAATAAGAATTATATTACAAATTAACAGGCATTAGATACAGATTATTATATCACATTGCTTTAGGGGTCATTACATTTTTCTATAAAAGTTCATAATTGCATAACCCTCATAGTAAAAAAAAAATGTGAAATTAGTATATTCTTGTTTTGTGACAAGATAAATGCTTTAAGGTTCCATAAGTTATGATTGAGATGAAACAGCAGGTGGATCATGGAACACACACCCAAAAAGAACAAGATGGAGAGCAGGAGTTAAAAAAAAGGGAGCTCAACTGTGTAGTGAAGGACAGAATCGGACTTTTAATGAAGATATAATAGATAGATAGATGTTGATTTACAATGATGCACACCTGAAAGTTATATAATATTATAATACAATGTTACTTCAATTAAAAAACACAAAATTTTCAGCAAAGATTTCCAAATAATATTAAATACCAAGGACTTTTATGAAACTCAGAGCCATAAGGAAAGCAATGTGCTAAAGACAAGAAACACCAAATTCAGTCCAAAGACCAAAAAATACTCAAGAATCTCTGCAGCAAGTTATTTAATCAAAAGTTTTTTTTTTTAATTTTTTATTTTTTATTTTTTTATAAATTTTATTGTTATATTCCCCATACAATTGCAGCCCCCCCATTCTGACCCCAATCCCTCCCCTCCCGCCCCCGCCCCCCTAAAAGTGTCTCTGGTTCATAGTTTTTTGTTGATTTTGATTTTCACTTTCTTATAGTTATTCATTTCCTGGTCCCTTATTTAAGTTTCTAGATTCCTGCTATGAGTGAGACCATCCTGTATTTTTCTTTTTCTTTTGGCTTATTCGCTGAGCATGATCCCTTCCAGCGCCATCCATGTTGCTGCAAATTGCATGTGTTATCTTTTTTGAATGCTGAGTAATATTCCATGGTATATATGTACCACATCTTCTTGATCCAGTCATCTATTTTTGGGCATTTGGGTTGTTTCCAAAGCTTAGCTATTGTAAACAGTGCTGCTATAAACATAGGGGTGCAGGTGTTCTTTGGAATTGATGTTTCTGTGTCCTTTGAGTAAATACCTAGGAGTGGAATTGCTGGATCATATGGAAACTCTATGTTTAGTAGGTCCAGAATCTCCACACAGCTCTCCACAGGGTTGGACCAGTTTGCACTCCCACCAACAGTGCAGAAGAGTTCCTTTTTCTCCACACCCTCGCCAGCATTTGTTGTTGCTAGTTTTTTTAATATGTGCCATTCTCACTGGTGTAAGATGGTATCTCATGGTAGTTTTGATTTGCATTTCCCTGATGGCAAGTGATGTTGAACATTTTTTCATATGCCTGTTGGCCATTGCATTTCCTCTTCAGAGAAGTTTCTTTTTAGCTCTTCTGCCCATTTTTTGACTGGATTATTTTCTTTGTTGTTGCTGAGTCTCATCAGCTCTTTGCAGATTTTTGTGATCAGTCCTTTATCATTAGTGTTGGGTGCAAAAATGTTCTCCCAGTTGGGGGGTTTCTCTTTTTGTTATTGTCTCTTTTGCTGTGCAGAAGCTCTTTAATTTGATGTAGTCCCAGCTGTTTATCTTTCCTTCACTATCACTGCTTTGGGTGATGTGTCTGTAAAGATGTCTTTGATGTGCAGATCACGTAGTGTTTCGCCTATATTCCTTCTATATATTTTATGGTTTCAGGTCTTATGTCTAGTTCTTTAATCCATTTTGAGTTGATTTTTGTGTATGGTGTGAGGTAGTGGTCAAGCTTCATTCTTTTGCATGTAGCGACCCAGTTTTCCCAGCACCATTTATTGAACAAACTTTCTTTGCTCCAATGCATAGTCTTTGCTCCTTTGTCAAAGATTAGTTGACCATAAATCTGTGGATTTTTTCTGGATTTTCTATTCGATTCCATTGGTCTGTATGTCTGTTCTTGTTCCAATACCATGCAGTTTGATGTATGGCTTTGTAGTATAGTTTGAAGTCTGGGAGTGTAATGCCTCCATTCCTTCTTTTTTTTTTCAGGAGAGCTTTGGCTATTCGGGTTTTTGTGATTCCATATGAATTTCATCAATAATTGTTCTATTTCTTTGAAGAATGACATTGAAATTTTGATTGGAATAGCATTGAATCTGTATATTGCTTTTGGAAGGATGGCCATTTTAATATGTTTATTCTTCCATCCACGAGCAGGGATGTCTCTCCATTTCTTTGTGTTCTTCTTCTTTCAAAGTGTTTTATAGTTTTTTTCTGTATAGGTCCTTTATCTCTTTTGTTAGACCTTTCCCTTTTTTTTGTTTCAATAACAAAAGGATGGTTTTTTTGATTTCTTCTTTTCAGATTTATTGTTTGTGTATAGGAAGGCTACTGACTTTTGCATGTTGATTTTGTATCCTGCCACTTTACTGAACTGATTGATGAGTTGAATTAGCTTTTCTGTGGAGTTTTTGGGGTTCTCTATGTATAATATCATATCGTCTGCAAATAGTGATAGTTTGACTTCTTCTTTTCCTATTTGGATTCCTTGGATGTCTTTCTCTTGTCTTATTGCCCTGGCTAGGACTTCCAGTATTATATTGAAAAGCAGTGGTGAGAGGGACATCCTGTCTTGTTCCAGATCTTAATGGAATTGCTTTCAGCTTTTCACCATTGAGAATGATGCTGGCTGTTGGCTTGTCATAGATGGCCTTTATGATGTTGAGGTATGTTCCTCGTATCCCAAGAATTTCAAGGGATTTTATCATGAATGGGTGTTGCACTTTGTCGAAAGCTTTCTCAGCATCTATTGATATATCATATGGTTTTTATATTTCTTTTTGTTGATGTGTTGGATAACGTTGATTGATTTTCGGATGTTAAACCATCCTTGTGCCCCTGGAATGAATCCTACTTGGTCGTGGTGAATTATCTTATGGATACATTGTTGGATTCTGATGGCTAAAATTTTATTGAGGATTTTGCATCTGTTCATTAGGGAGATGGCCTGTAGTTTTCCTTTTTTGTGTTGTCCTTGTTCGGTTTTGGTATTAGTGTAATGTTGGCTTCATAGAACGTGTTTGGTATTGTCCCTTCCTTCTCAATTTTTGGAAGAGTTTGAAGGATAGGCACTAATTGTCTCTGAATTTGGTAGAATTCATTTGTAAATCCATCAGGTCCTGGGCTTTGTTTTTGGGGAGGTTGATTACCATTCAATTTCGCTAATTGTATTGGTCTGTTTAGGTGTTCTATTTCTTCTTTATCTAGCTTTGGTGATTGTAGATGTTTAGGAATTTGTCCATCTCCTCTAGATTATTAAACTTATTTCCATATAACTGTTCATAGTAGTTACTGATTATTATTTTATTTCTGCTGCTTGTGTCCGTTGTGATTTCTCCTCTTTCATTGATGATCCTGTTTATTTGTGCTTTCTCCCTTTTCCTTTGTGAGCCTGGCTAGGGGTTTGTCTATTTTATAGATTTTTTCAAAGAACCAGCTCTTGGTTTCATTGATCTGTTTGGAGTTTTTAGTTTCAATTTCATTTATTTCTGCTTTTTTTATTATCTTTTCTTCTACTGGTTTTGGTTTTTTGTTGTTCTTTTTCTAGATCTTTGAGCTTCGAGATTAGGTTGTTTCTTTGAGTTCTTCTTGTTTCTTGATGTGAGCTTCTATTGCTTATATATTTTCCTCTTATTACTGCTTTTGCTGCATCCCATACATTTAGGATATTGGTGTCCTCCTTGTCGTTCAGTTTCAAAAAAATTTTTTAATTTCTTCTTTGATCTCCTCAATTAGTCCAGAGGTCTTCCAGTAGTGTGGTTTTTAATCTCCATGAGTAGGAAAGTTCCTTGCCTTCTTTTTATGGTTTAGTTCTAGTTTGATGCCTTCATGGTCAGAAAAGATGGTTGATATGATTTCAATCTTGGTGTATCTGTTGATGTTGTCTTGTGCCCCACCCAGTATGTGATCGATCCTGGAGAATGATCCGTGTGCGCTTGAGAAAAATGTGTACTCCGTTTTTTTGGTTTAGTGTTCTATAGATGTCTGTTAAGCCCAATTGCTCTAGGTCCTTATTTAGAGCTTTGGTTACTTTACTTATTTTTTGTCTTGTTGATCTATCCATTGTTGATAGTGGTGTGTTGAAGTCTCCCACTACGTATGTGTTTTCTCTGATGTCTGTTTCAGAGAAGACAACAGTTGTCTGATATATTTTGGTTCCTTCGTTTCGTGAGTAATATGTTAAAGTGTTATTTCTTCTTGAAGTATTGTCCCCTTGATCATAATGTAGTGACCATTGGGGTCTTTTTATCTCTTTGAGTTTGAAATCTGTTTTATCTGATATAAGTATAGCTGTTCCTGCTTTCTTTTTTGGCCCATTTGCTTGTAGGATTGTTTTCCATCCTTTGACTTTGAGCCTATTTTTATCTTTTGTAGCTAAATGTGTTTCCTGGAGACAGCAAAAGGTTGGGTTTTGTTTCTTAATCCAGGCTGCAACTCTGTGT